TTTCTGTTTTCCAGGTTAGTTCTTGTGCTTATGGCTCTTAGACTCCCTAGGTTGGATTGCAGTAGGCAGATTCCAAAGTTTCTTTTGTTGTTTTTTCTTTGTTGAGGTTCTAGGCCACTTGCACGCATGTCCTCTCAGTCTTTGATTTGCGGTAGTCTTGATTTCTACTCAAACTTTGTACTTGTTTTCTTTTGAGTTATAGTTACCTCTATCGTTCCGAAAAAAAAAAACAATCATAAATAATAGTAATGATAATCCAATAATACAATTAATCAATTTTGGCAATCAAAATAAATTAGACAAATAATATCTACAAGGACAATAATAATAATATCCGAAAATAAATCCAATAATCGAACAGGTTAAATCTGAACTACGCGATTACACTGAAATCGCCGAACAACGAAAACTTCATTGCATCGATCATGCGTGAGGATGGCACCACAACCGAGTCCATGGAGGATGTGACCAAGGAATTCATTCGTTACTATGAAGCTCTCTTGGGAATTGGGGTAGAAATTGAAAAACGATCGAGTATTTTAACCTTTTACTTAAGTCGACAACGCGACTAATAAAATAAATATAATCTTGTAAATGATATTCGATAAATAGAATATTACGAGAAATTCTATAAATCGAACGGGGCGTTACATTTAGGGAACCTCATTGTGTTCCTCCATTCTCCCTTCTGGGATGATTGTATGACTATTTAGTCTCTCCTACCTGTATCTTTTATGAGCTATATATTCTACCGTTTCGATAAAAAAATAAAAATCGTGTTTCATCCGTTGGAGTTGTAAACTCTATACGCTTCTGCGATGAATGATTGGATGACATGATTTATAGAGACATCTATAGTTATTTATTAAAATGATGTAAATAATATATCGATAGATGTTAAAAAATGAAAAATACTACAAATACATAATAAATGTACATAGAGATGTACATAATAAATAGCGATGTAAATGACACTCACATAAAGTGGCGTCTACTTGATTTATTATTTTTTGGTGTATTCCACTCATTGTGAGTGTTATGTACAATATTATGTACTTATAACAGTATTCTAAAAAATATATATTTAAAATATTTATTAATACATATTTCATGAATGCATATTTTTTTTTTTTTCTAATTTCATGAATGCATTTATAAATGAAAATTTATGGGTGAAAAAAATTGTGAAAGAGAACATAGGTATCCAATCTCCACCTTTAGCTCTTTTGCTTTTTAAAAAGTTTTCCATCCCCGCCATATTTTGTACAAAAAAGGGGAAACGAATTCCCGAAATTCTCCCTGTCATTTGGTACACCATTCATCCAGATCAGTTATTTGCAGAGACGAACAAGGATAGCCAAAACCCTAGCGAGTTGAAAAAACAGAAAAATGCCGAGGGAAATCATTACGCTGCAAGTGGGGCAATGCGGGAATCAGATCGGTATGGAGTTCTGGAAGCAGCTCTGCCTCGAGCACGGCATCAGCAAAGATGGCATTCTCGAGGATTTTGCCACTCAGGTCCCTGTTCCTAAATCGATGTTCTATGTGTTGACTGCTTGTACTAGCATTTTTATTTTGTGCTTGTTTCTTATTTGGTTGGAGTTGGGAAGAAAGTTGAGCTTTAGATGGTGAGAATGGTGTTGAATCGTCGTCTCTGCTTTTGGAGTTGTACCTGTAATCTTATTTTCCTAAAGACGAGTGCAGTATTGTTAAATATACGGAGCTCATGTACGAAAAGTACACCAGCACAAGTCAATATGGCTAGCCGAAGACGAGTGTTGATGAGTTTGAGCTTACGTTTCTTATTGTTATATTTAAAGATATGTGAAAGTATGGGGAAATATTGTGCAACACTGCTAATCGGATTTTGTTGATGAAGAAGAAAAAAACCATGTTTGTCTACTGTGAATTATGTTCCAGATGTAGAGGTTTGTTTGGGGTCAAGTATCTTGTGCAAGCCTTTCAAATCACGCTTAGTTTCTCATTCTCCGCATATGCTTTTATAGAGGAAGCACATGCTGTAGCAGTCTATATTGTAGTCTGGTGATGCATGAGGCTAAAAAGTGGGATGGTGAATGACAACACATTTGAAATGTGATGTACTATAATCTGTTTCTGATTTGTACAATGTCAATGTCGTGTTATGATACTGTTTTTTCTTTGAATTAGAGTAATTAACAATGCAAACGAATTCGAGTCCCCATATATTTTGGAATTGACTGCTACAAATTCTTCATAGTCGCGCAAATATACAGTTTTCTGTTGGGTGTTCTAGTGTCAAGTTGCTAATTGTTGCAACCTCCGGTCAGAAGTTGGCTGCTCAAAATTAACATTATGGACACAATATGAAGGTATATATATGAATGCTCATGCTGCAGGGAGGTGACAGAAAAGATGTGTTCTTCTATCAAGCAGATGATCAACATTATATACCACGAGCTTTACTTATGGATTTGGAGCCTAGGGTGATAAATGGTATACAGAACAGTGAATACAGAAACCTCTACAATCATGAAAATGTATTTATTGCCGATCATGGAGGGGGTGCTGGTAACAATTGGGCAAGTGGATACCATCAGGTCTGAAGAGCTTCCTATTTAACATACATGTACCTTTACTCTGTCATACTACAAACAAAATTGTGAATGTGTAGTATATTAGTGGGCTGCTTGGATCTAAATGTTTTATAATTGATTGTAAACCAAGTCAATCAAAACTGCAAAGTGCAAACTATGTGGTACGATGAACCATATTTTTTTTTTTTTTGTTTTGCTGAAATACTGTAACTATTGTGAATGATGCACTT